CATGACACAAAAGGGTTTGGGTTATTGCACCACTTCCCAGACCTGAGGGCTTGGGGGCTTTTCTCTTTTAACCACTTCCCAGACCATGACACAAAAGGGTTTGGGTTATTGCACCACTTCCCAGACCATGACACAAAAGGGCTTGGGCTCTTTTTAACCACTTCCCAGACCATGACACAAAAGGGTTTGGGTTATTGCACCACTTCCCAGACCATGACACAAAAGGGCTTGGGCTCTTTTTAACCACTTCCCAGACCATGACACAAAAGGGTTTGGGTTATTGCACCACTTCCCAGACCATGACACAAAAGGGCTTGGGCTCTTTTTAACCACTTCCCAGACCATGACACAAAAGGGTTTGGGTTATTGCACCACTTCCCAGACCATGACACAAAAGGGCTTGGGCTCTTTTTAACCACTTCCCAGACCATGACACAAAAGGGTTTGGGTTATTGCACCACTTCCCAGACCATGACACAAAAGGGCTTGGGCTCTTTTTAACCACTTCCCAGATTGTGACACAAAAGGGTTTGGGTTCTTTTTAACCACTTCCCAGACCATGACACAAAAGGGTTTGGGTTATTGCACCACTTCCCAGACCATGACACAAAAGGGTTTGGGTTCTTTTTAACCACTTCCCAGACCATGACACAAAAGGGTTTGGGTTATTGCACCACTTCCCAGACCATGACACAAAAGGGCTTGGCCTCTTTTTAACCACTTCCCAGATTGTGACACAAAAGGGTTTGGGTTCTTTTTAACCACTTCCCAGACCATGACACAAAAGGGTTTGGGTTATTGCACCACTTCCCAGACCATGACACACCACTTCCCAGACCATCACTTGAAACCACTGACTTGTTTGGGTTCTTTTTTAACCACTTCCCAGACCATGACACAAAAGGGTTTGGGTTATTGCACCTCTTCCAGACCATGACACAAAAGGGCTTGGGCTCTTTTTAACCACTTCCCAGATTGTGACACAAAAGGGTTTGGGTTCTTTTTAACCACTTCCCAGACCATGACACAAAAGGGTTTGGGTTATTGCACCACTTCCCAGACCATGACACAAAAGGGCTTGGGCTCTTTTTAACCACTTCCCAGACCATGACACAAAAGGGTTTGGGTTCTTTTTAACCACTTCCCAGACCATGACACAAAAGGGTTTGGGTTATTGCACCACTTCCCAGACCATGACACAAAAGGGCTTGGGCTCTTTTAACCACTTCTTCACCACCACTTCCCAGATTGTGACCACAAAAGGGTTTGGGTTCTTTTTAACCACTTCCCAGACCATGACACAAAAGGGTTTGATTGGTTATTGCACCACTTCCCAGACCATGACACAAAAGGGCTTGGGCTCTTTTTAACCACTTCCCAGACCATGACACAAAAGGGTTTGGGTTCTTCCCAGACCATGACAGGGCTTGGGCTCTTTTTAACCACTTCCCAGATTGTGACACAAAAGGGTTTGGGTTCTTTTTAACCACTTCCCAGACCATGACACAAAAGGGTTTGGGTTATTGCACCACTTCCCAGACCATGACACAAAAGGGCTTGGGCTCTTTTTAACCAGATTGTGACACAAAAGGGTTTGGGTTCTTTTTAACCACTTCCCAGACCATGACACAAAAGGGTTTGGGTTATTGCACCACTTCCCAGACCATGACACAAAAGGGCTTGGGCTCTTTTTAACCACTTCCCAGATTGTGACACAAAAGGGCTTGGGTTCTTTTTAACCACTTCCCAGACCATGACACAAAAGGGTTTGGGTTATTGCACCACTTCCCAGACCATGACACAAAAGGGCTTGGGCTCTTTTTGCACACTCTTGATTGTGACTCACTTGTTAACCACTTCCCAGATTGTGACTCAGGGTTGGGATTGTTTGGTTCTTGTTAACCACTTCCCAGATTGTGACTCAGGGTTGGGATTGTTTGGTTCTTGTTAACCACTTCCCAGATTGTGACTCAGGGTTGGGATTGTTTGGTTCTTGTTAACCACTTCCCAGATTGTGACTCAGGGTTGGGATTGTTTGGTTCTTGTTAACCACTTCCCAGATTGTGACTCAGGGTTGGGATTGTTTGGTTCTTGTTAACCACTTCCCAGATTGTGACTCAGGGTTGGGATTGTTTGGTTCTTGTTAACCACTTCCCAGATTGTGACTCAGGGTTGGGATTGTTTGGTTCTTGTTAACCACTTCCCAGATTGTGACTCAGGGTTGGGATTGTTTGGTTCTTGTTAACCACTTCCCAGATTGTGACTCAGGGTTGGGATTGTTTGGTTCTTGTTAACCACTTCCCAGATTGTGACTCAGGGTTGGGATTGTTTGGTTCTTGTTAACCACTTCCCAGATTGTGACTCAGGGTTGGGATTGTTTGGTTCTTGTTAACCACTTCCCAGATTGTGACTCAGGGTTGGGATTGTTTGGTTCTTGTTAACCACTTCCCAGATTGTGACTCAGGGTTGGGATTGTTTGGTTCTTGTTAACCACTTCCCAGATTGTGACTCAGGGTTGGGATTGTTTGGTTCTTGTTAACCACTTCCCGGATTGTGACTCAGGGTTGGGATTGTTTGGGTTCTTGTTAACCACTTCCCAGATTGTGACAAAGGGTTGGGTATTGTTGCATTGTTCAACCAGGTTTTCTGCGCCAAGCGAGGTGCAGCTATTCAGCTATTCGCTGCAAGTCGCTTGTTCCAGCTCTTTGAACCTTAGGCGTGGCGAGCAACGCCGACTGCGTCGCAGAAGTTTCGCGAGGTTTCGCCGAGTTTTCCGAGCATTGTCACCTTACCGCCTTCCCAAATGGGCCTTGGAAAACGTGGACGATATCATGGGAGATTACAACAGCACCCTGACTGCATCGCCAAACAAGCACCACCAGCAACCACCACACCACCTCAAGCACACCAAACAGCACTCCGACCAGAACCCACACCAGCCTTGCATGCCCAAACAAGCACCAAAAGCCACTACCAATGTACCTTAAGCACGTCAGAATGATCAATCAGCACCCTGGCTGCATCGCCACACAATCACCGCCACCTCCGCACCACAGCACCTTGAGCACACCTGGGGCACACCAAACTGCAACCTGACCAGAACGCACAACAGCACGGCGCCAAGACCAGCAGCGCCAAAGAAGCGCCGCCAACAGCACCCTGACTGCATCTCAAACAGGTAACCCTGCCTGTTTGGAAGCAAGAACCCCTACAGCTAGAACTATTTGGAGAACAAATGGGTTAATTCGCGTTGGTTCTTTTCGGTTAAAGAGCAACTCCCCACTGTTCGCGCTGTTCGGCACCGCTTGGAGGGCGGAGTTCGGCAAAGCCGTGAAGGTCCAGTTAAATTGTAGTTTGGACGCCGTTTGGGCCTTCAGACGGCATCGGCTGACAAGCCACTAGGGCCGATTTGGCGGAGCATCGCAAGAATGTTGGCCCGGTGATTTCCATGTCCATGTAGTGTCTCCAAGAGAACCAGCTTCAAAGAACTAAAAGGACAATAACTGCTTACCCGCTATAGTGGTAAGTGGGATCCTATAGGAGCGAGGAGTTTCGTTCAGTGCTGAACGATTCAGTGGGCAACTAGTTTCGACACTCCGAAAGGAGGGGACCGGATTATTTTTCAGGTTCAGTTTCCTTATTTTGTCTCAAACTTCAGTGGATTCCACCATCCCTTTCTTTGTTTGCTTTCCGACCAAGGGGGTGTCGACCTTGCATTTTTTGGGGTACTCAGACATTGACCTGCTTCACACGTCTAGAAAAAGGGCGCTCACCTTTTTCTACTCGCGCGGCGAGCGAGCCAACTCGGCCTCAGCATCTTATCGGCGCAGTCTGCACCCAACAGCTGGCCGAAAAGCCGCATAGCGCGCTGCATCTCATTGGATCATATGGGTATGTGGCATGTGTCAAGAGCGGATCCCAACATGTTGAATCGATCTCTTTTGGCTTTTCTTTAAACCAATCCGGAAGGGATGCCCCCCACCAAACCCACTCCCCATTTTTCGGGCCACCGAAAGTCGTTTCCCTGGAGCCTAGTCACCTTCAAGGAAGGCTGTACCCCTTGCAGCTGGCACGTCGCCATGTTCCCGACATAGGCCGCCTGTTGCTAGCGGCTTCCTGGATGGCTCATCAGACGGCCACATGTGGCAGATCCGGTTCCAAGAGCTGGATATCCGGTTCCAAGGGCCATCAGCTCGCCGTGAAATACTTGCTGGGGTGCTGTGCCTACATAAAAAGCCAGGTAGGTAGTAGAACCACCTGCACAAGTTGTTTTTTTTTGGGGGGGGTTTCGTGCGCAACTCCCTTGGCTAGCCAAAATGTTCGCGAACAGCCCGCGGACCATCGGATCAAACCGGAGCCGGAAGGGTTCGATGGGCGTCCATATCGAGTTTTCCTCCAAAATTATGCCTAAAGGCCTTGATTCCGTTTGAAATAAACACCATCCCAAAGGAGGCTCCCGGAATTGTCGGAGAGGACTTGCCCTCTTGCTCAAAGCGGTCTTGGTTTCTTATGAAGGCTTGCACTCAGTTGGACAGGCGACATGTCGGGGACGGTTTCAATCACAAAACCCCGCAAAAGTGGATGGCAACCCGTGTCAACAGAAAGCACACTGTGTCGACCGTTCATGGGAAGCACGACGTTGCTTTCGCATTGCGCATTCCTGAAACGCCCCTGGGCCAACTGGGCCAACTGCGCCGTGGTCAAAAGGTTGACTTTTGACTCGGGATGGTCGCGGATCCGTGGCTTTCGACAACCATCCCCTGCAGGTTATGTGGAGACCAAGGAGGTCCCGCAAATGGCAGTGCCAAACATGCAAACCTCCTAGCTGCACCCCCCCAAGCACACCACCCCCAGCCCAAACAAACCGATCCTCGGTCCCGTTAGGGACCCCAAAGGGAGGCGTGAAAGTTTGACCACCAGCTGACCCTTGTTTAGACATTCTCAAGCCACTGTTTTAACACTCAGGCGCTTAAAGACCATACGACAATTCGCATGGCCAGGCTGCCCTTTCGGCTGATGCGCCCTCTGCAGTGGTGGTCGGTAGCGCGCTGGGCGCCTCTCCTGCGAAATCCGCTGGGACATGTCTGAAGATGACCTGAAGGGAAGCCAACAAAAAGTGAAACTTTTTGCAGGGGGGGTCAACAGCACCAAGCTTTTTGCAGGTCCTTTTTCAGCTCGCAAGGCTTTGTTCCTTCCAGGGGCGAACGGGATTCCATTTCCCTGTACCTAGGGCTTCAAGAACCTGTAAAAATGTCGTACCCTGACTAAAACATCGTGTTTTTTTCTCGATTTTCTGAAAACATTGTTTTTTCAGGAAAAACATCGTGTTTTTGATAAACCCCCTTAAGCATGGGCTTCTGAGGCCAAACGCTCATTTGGAGCAAAGGGTCAAAGGCAAGGGTCGGGAGTGAATTCACACAGGCATCACCCATTAAGATCTCAACTGAGGGCAACGCTCTATACTGAGTATGCTTCAAATTCTAAGGACCACATTGAAGAGCCTGACAGCCAGGGTGTGCAGCTGGCTTCAGTCTTGAAGTACCTTTTACAGCAACAGGCACCTGAAGACTGGCGCCAGGTCATACCGAACCAGTTTGAAGGGGGTGCTGGAATCCGAAAGCTCCTTTTGGTGCAAAACAAGACCAGGTGACACCTTTTGAGATTGTTTTATAAATTTTGAGCTTTTTTTAGAAAATGGGGCGGGATCCTGGCGGCTAAGCGCAGAAACCCGTAGAAAACCCGTAGAAACCCGTAGCAGATCCGTAGAAACCCGTAGAAAACCTGCAGCCCCAACCGAAAACATCGTGTTTTTGGAAAACATCGTGTTTTCTAACCCGTAGCTAAACCGTGGAAAACCCGTAGTAAAGCGTTGCAAACCGTGGAAATTCTATGGGTTTTTCGGGTTCAACCACGAATGCGCTAATTCGAGAATGTTGCTGGAAAACAACGAAGTCGTGAGAAAAAGCACGATCTTTGCTTGAGCTTGCGCACTGTTCGAAGCCAGCACGCCCTCATCATGGCATTGCTGCTTGACAAGTGTCATAAAACCGTGGTACTTTTGACTATTTGGGTCCTCGGCCTCCTTCTTTCAGATTGGAGTTGCGAAAGACGAGTGGCGAATGCGAAGCTGATTTCGTTACGAGCGCAAAAGGGGAGGGCGATGGGAGATTCTGAGGTTGAGATGATGCTTTTGAGATCTTTTGAGAACGGATGACGAGTTGAAGGAATGTATGGGAAAATGATTGAAATTGAAAATGCGGTGTTTCCCGAAAGCATCGTGTTTTCCCAAAAAACATCGTGTTTTTTGTAGGTATGACATTTTCATCGGTTTTTGAGGCTCCTGGTATAGGCAACCGATGGGCAACTGAGAGAACCGACCTTCAAGTTCGCTTTGAATCCATTGGAGATGATCTTTGCGGAGAATGGGTTGGATGGTTCCGACTCATTGAAAGTCGCGTAACGAATTTTGGGAAAAATCTTGTGTCCAAAAGGTGAGATTGTCTTGGGGGTGCTGTGTTTTTATGTTGAACATATGGAACCCTGTCTATTCATCCGGGACACGCGGCAACCCAGGGTACTGGGTTTATAGTAAGGCATCCTAGAACTGCCTGAGCTAACTGGTAACTTGGAGAAAAGCAACCCAGGCCCCAAACCGCATGTTCGAACCCGCAAGCAAACCCCTGGACATTGTAGTCGAAGGAAAACGAAAACTAACAATAGGGCCACCCTCAAATAACCCCCTTCACAATTGTGCATGTAAAAGAAACCTAAAAATAGGACAGCGCACAAGGAAACGCCACCGTCGCCAGGTTCGATTCCGGTTTTTTGAGAATCCCACATGCCAGCCCATTTTCTGGACCTGCGGATGGTGCCGTGTTCTCCCCGGCAAAAGGCCACAATTGAGATGCCTTTCGAAGGGTTGTTAAGGCTTGCTACTTTGCCAGGTTCCCAAGAAGAACAAAGGAACCATGGGAGGCCAAACATGATTTTGCCGTGAACCCTCCCCCCAACACAAAAAAAGGTCAACCCCCCCCGGCCCCCAACACAAAAAAAGGGGGGTCGACAGAAAGAAACGCATGTTGTTGGCAGAGATTCATCTACTTGATGCCAGCCCGATGTGTCCAACGGCCCGCCTTTCGACCTCCAGTTTCCCTTTTTGGTTTGCCCAAAACCACAGATCGGGGTTCGAACGGATGAGAGCCCTTTCGTTCTTGGCCTTTGTTCGGTCCTGGTTGACCTTTTGTTTGGGCCCAAAGCAGAAAGCGAGTGAGAGCCTCCTGCCTCCAAGAGGTTACCAGTGCGCCTTCGCCTTGGCCCTGGGCTTCAGTCGCTGTGTCGGTTACGACCTCCTCTGCCTCTCAGCTGCAGTCCTGGCACATGGAACGCAACATGGATGTGTGTGTGTGTGTGTATTTTTTCGGCTCCCGTCTTCTCTTTGTCAGATGCCTCCCCACTTTTGTGTGTTTTTTTTCTTCCGTTTTTTTAAGTGTTTTGTGAGGGTACAGTTCCTTTTCAGCTGGTTTAAAGGGAAGCCACAAAAGGACAGCACCCATTTTGCGTCCTCGTTCGACACAGCCACATGGCTGTTCCGGCAAAGCGGGCCCCTATCTCAGGCACACCCATAGATGGTGACCCCAGAGTCAACGTGGCCTTCTTTTAAAGGGGAGCGGTTCCACCCAAAGTGAAGGTTGCCCTATAAGTTGGGTCCCTACAAGCAATCCCGTTTGTTTTTTTTGGTGTCCCCATCGGGTAGCGATCTCAGGCGACAGCATGGTGGCCGAATCTCAGAAGATGGCCGAGGAGTGGAACGAGTTTCGAGGTTTGGGAAGGGACGTGAAGGGACGATATCGTACATGTATCATACGTGTGCCGTATATGTAGCTATGATTAGGTGCGTTGTTGTGTATTTGTATGTACTGAGATGCGCATACACGTATACATAGTGATTAAAGCTCAATATATATATATATATATCTACACATAATCATATGTGTATATATATATATATGTATACATATATTGCATATGTGCACACACACACACAGAGACTCCTACTGTCTAGGGTCTTATTGCCATAGTTTCTAGAACAACGTCGCCAGGAGAGCGGCCTTTCTGATCGGCGACTTGGCAAAGCTTCCGCTCGCACTGAGTTGGTTTGGTTTTTCTGTGCTCCCGTGCGGTTACCTTCCCACCAACTAACATGGAACCTGACTTTCGGGAGGTCTGGAAGACCATTTTCCTTGTAAAAAGTGACCCCCTGTCAGGTTCCAGGTGAATTGGTGGGAGGGTACCACTTTAGTACCAAGTGATTCCAGGTTTTGTTCCCTTTTGGTTTCCCTTGAACACCATCCAAACGGGTGCCCTCAAAAAAGACACGCCCACCTGGATCCACATGCCTGTATAGGTAACCAAGGAAGCCACCATGAACCCAGAAGGAACATTGGGACCCGCAACCCTTCGGCATATCTACCACGTGGTTTCCCCTGATTACCTACTGTGGATGAACAAAATCCTGCACCACCTTGAAACCATGGGAAACCATGGTCGGTTAGTATTTACAAGAGAATCATGATTCCAGGGCTTCTTAGGTGGTGCGAAATGGATTTTGTCCATCCACAGTATGGTGGGAGCTGACAACCCTGGGATGGACTATGGATGACCCCTTACGCAAGCCCGGCTTTGGCGTATGCATGGAAGCGAGGACTCGACACCAATGGTGTGTGAATCGATTTGTTTGGAAACCGTCAGAATCTGTTTTGATCGGGAAGGATGTTAAATCACATTGGGCTGTAGCAAACACCAGGCCTTGTGCATGCCCCTCCCCGAAATGTACAGAGAGGAGGTCCATTTAGAAAGGGCCTGCCCTTCAAAGATTCAATTCTATTCCTGAGGCTTTCCCAATCGGATGGAACATCTTTCACCCAGGGAGACCTTGCAGATTTGCAACAAGCAACCGGGTGTGTCTTTTAAAGGTTGCACCCCAGAATGACTTCGGTTGTCCTTTTTGGCGTTCCTTTGAAACCAAATCCGAAAAAGGAACAAAAACGCGGGCCCAAGGAGTAGCAATAGATATATGAGTCCGGCTCAAAATTTAACGGGGGGGGGGTTACGCGGGTTTTAGTCTTTGGTTCCATTTACCAGGGTTCCATTTTGGTACCGGTTTTTTGAGCCACAGCCATATATGTATTTACACGCTGACGCGACACAGCCGGCCACCGGGCACCTTGCCCTGCTCGTTCTGTCACTTCCCTTTCCTGTAAGTCCGATTAGTAGATGTTAAGATTTTCAGATTCTAACAACTTTGAGATTCTAAGGGTCTCAGTGAAGACTGTCGGAATTTAAGGTTTCAATGGTTTAAGAATTAAGGTTTTAAGATTCAAAGATTTAAAGTTTTTGAAGGTTATAACAGCCAGGTCATTGCCCAGCCATTTTCCATCTATTATCAGATTTCGAAGGCTTTAAGATTTTATTTTTCGGAGATTTTCAGATTTGGCGACTTTCGGAATTTAAGATTTTAAGATCTCAAGAATTCAAGGCTTCAAAGTTTCAAGATTAAGAGTTTAAGGAATTTAAAATATAGCCCGGATTGAAGGAATTTTATTATATTTTACTTGTTTATGAAGTTAAGATTTTCAGATTGCAATAGTTCGAGATTTAAAGAATTTAAGTTTTGAAAGCTTTTCAGATTCTGAGATTTTAAGACTTTGAGAATTTAGGAAGTTCATATTTTTAGATTTTAACATCTGAAGATTCAAAGATATTCGGGTTTTAAGAAGTCAAGATTCGAAGACTTTAGGATGTTTATATTTTCAGATTGTAAGATTCGATCTTCTAAGGTTGTAAGTTTAAGATCTTGAGGTTTCAAGATTTCCAAATTTCAAGAGTAAGAGTTTAAGACTGTAGGAATTTCATATTTTAAGAGTTTAAGATCGCAAGATTCTAAGACATAAGGGTTTTAAGATTTCAAGATTCGAAGACTTTAGGATGTTTTTATATTTTTAGATTTTAAGATTCTAAGTTCGAATATTTTAAGATCTCAAGATTCTAAGATTGATTGTTAGAATTGAATTTAAGATTTTAAGAATCTAAGACTTTAGGATTTTGAGATTTCAATCCAGGCCATTTTCCATCTATTTTCCATCCACTTTAAGATTTTAATATTTTCAGGTTGCACGTTTTCGGCAAAGTTGGCCCGACTTAGGGGACAACATCCCCAGCATCCCCCGAGACTTTAGGATGTTTTTATATTTTCAGATTTTAAGCTTTAGGATTTTGAGATTTCAATCCAGGCCATTTTCCATCCATTTTCCATCCACTTTAAGATTTTAAGATTTTCAGGTTGCACGTTTTCGGCAAAGTTGGCCCGACTTAGGGGACAACATCCCCAGCATCCCCCGAGACTTTAGGATGTTTTTATATTTTCAGATTTTAAGATTCTAAGTTCGAAGATTTTAAGATCTCGAGATTCTAAGATTGATTGTTAGATTTGAATTTAAGATTTTAAGAATCTAAGACTTTAGGATTTTGAGATTTCAATCCAGGCCATTTTCCATCCATTTTCCATCCACTTTAAGATTTTAAGATTTTCAGGTTGCACGTTTTCGGCAAAGTTGGCCCGACTTAGGGGACAACATCCCCAGCATCCCCCGAGACTTTAGGATGTTTTTATATTTTCAGATTTTAAGCTTTAGGATTTTGAGATTTCAATCCAGGCCATTTTCCATCCACTTTGAAGATTTTAAGATTTTCAGGTTGCACGTTTTCGGCAAAGTTGGCCCGACTTAGGGGACAACATCCCCAGCATCCCCCGAGACTTTAGGATGTTTTATATTTTCAGATTTTAAGATTCTAAGTTCGAAGATTTTAAGATCTCGAGATTCTAAGATTGATTGTTAGATTTGAATTTAAGATTTTAAGAATCTAAGACTTTAGGATTTTGAGATTTCAATCCAGGCCATTTTCCATCCATTTTCCATCCACTTTAAGATTTTAAGATTTTCAGGTTGCACGTTTTCGGCAAAGTTGGCCCGACATCCCCAGCATCCCCCGCATCACCGGCATCATCCGCATCAATGTCCGCCAAGGATGCGGATGATGCAGGTGATGCCGGGGATGTTGTCCACTATGGGCACCCCCCAAAAAACACTCGTTTTTTGAATCCGCGGGGAGATGCTCAAAAAGCCGCCAAAAATCGCCTGAACAAATCCGCAAATCCTTCGCCCCTTATAAGGGTGGGCCCAGCTTGGCGCAGCGCAAAAGTTCGGCGGTGGGTCGGCGGCATGGGGCGGACGGCCAAACACCTGAAGGTAGGCCCTGCGGGCCTAGGCCTTCGGCGATGTCACGGACCACGGGGTCAGGGGCCCCCAGTGGCCGGATTGCCCTGCCCGTTCTGTTCTGTCACTTCCCTTTCCGGTAAGTCCGATGAGTAGATGTTAAGATTTAAAAATAAGATTCAAAAATTCTAAGCACTTTGAGATTCTAAGGGTCTCAGATTTGAAGACTTTTGGAATTTAAGGCTTCAATGGTTTAAGAACTAAGGTTTTAAGATTCAAAGACTTAAGGTGTTTGAAGGTTATAACAGCCAGGCCATTGCCCAGCCATTTTCCATCCATTATCAGATTTCGAAGGCTTTAAGATTTTATTTTTGGTGAGATTTTCAGATTGGCGACTTTCGGAATTTAAGATTTTAAGATCTTAAGATGTCAAGACTTCAAAATTTCAAGATTAAGAGTTTAAGGAATTTAGAATATAGCCCGGATTGAAGGAATTTTCTTATATTTTACTTGTTTATGAATTTAAGATTTTCAGATTGCAATAGTTCGAGATTTAAAGAATTTAAGTTTTTGAAGCTTTTAAGATTCTGAGATTTTAAGAGTTTGGGAATTTAGGAATTTCATATTTTAAGATTTTAACATCTGAAGATTCAAAGACATGAGGGTTTCTGTCACTTCCCTTTCCTGTAAGTCCGATGAGTAGATGTTAAGATTTCAAAATTCTAAAAACTTTGAGATTCTAAGGGTCTCAGATTTGAAGACTTTCGGAATTGAAGGTTTCAATGGTTTAAGAATTAAGGTTCTAAGATTCGAAGATTTAAGGTTTTTGAAGGTTATAACAGCCAGGCCATTGCCCAGCCATTTTCCATCCATTATCAGATTTCGAAGGCTTTAAGATTTTATTTTTGGTGAGATTTTCAGATTTGGCGACTTTCGGAATTTAAGATTTTAAGATCTTAAGATGTCAAGACTTCAAAATTTCAAGATTAAGAGTTTAAGGAATTTAGAATATAGCCCGGATTGAAGGAATTTTATTATATTTTACTTGTTTATGAATTTAAGATTTTCAGATTGCAATAGTTCGAGATTTAAAGAATTTAAGTTTTTGAAGCTTTTAAGATTCTGAGATTTTAAGATTTTGAGAATTTCGGAATTTCATATTTTAAGATTTTAACATCTGAAGATTCAACGACATGAGGGTTTTAAGAAGTTAAGATTCGAAGACTTGAGCATGTTTATATTTTCAGGTTGCAAGATTCTATCTTCTAAGGTGGTAATTTTAAGATCTTAAGGTTTCAAGATTTCAATAATTCAAGATTAAGAGTTTAAGGAAGTTAAAATATAGCCGGGATTGAAGGAAGGTAATATTTTAATAATTTAAGGTTTTCAGATTTCAATTGTTCGAGGTTTAAAGAATTTGAGTTTTTAAAGCTTTTCAAGATTCTGAGATTTTAAGATTGTAAGACTTTAGGAATGTCATATTTTAAGAGTTTAAGATCTCAAGATTCTAAGACATAAGGTTTTTAAGGTTTCAAGATTCGAAGACTTTACGAAGTTTTTATATTTTCAGATTTTAAGATTCTAAGTTCTAAGATTTTAAGATCTTGAGATTCTAAGGTTGGTTGTTAGATTTTCATTTAAGATTTTAAGAATCTAAGACTTTAGGATTTTGAGATTTCAATCCAGGCAATTTTCCATCCATTTTCCATCCACTTTAGATTTTAAGATTTTCAGGTTGCACGTTTTCGGCAAAATTGGCCCGACTTAGGGGACAACATCCCCCGCATCGCCAGCATGCATTACATCATCCGCATCATCCAGGATGATGCTGGCAATGCTGGGGGTGTTGTCCAGTATTAGGCACCCCCTAAAAATGCTCGTTTTTGGACTCGTTTTTGGGCGCTGCGGGGAGATGCTACAAAAATCCTCGCAAATCGCCTAAGCCAATCCGCAAATCCTTCGCCCCTTATAAGAGTGGGCCCAGCGCAAAACGTATGCGCATGGTCGGAGCATGGTCGGCGCATGTTCTGCGCATGGTCGGCGGCATGGGGCGCGCGGCCTTATACCTGAAGGTAAGCCCTACCGGGCTTTGGCCTGCGGCCCGATCACGTCCGGTGGCCGGATTTAGCAGGCTGACGCCTGATGCCGCCGACCCCACACGCTGGAGAAACTCTGGCCCTTCTCCGTCTCTCAGCAGGATCGGCGCCAAGGTCTCGCATGCTGGGGATGCGGGGGCCTTTTTGGTCTTCCATCGTTGAAAAAGGCAGCTTTTGCATCCCCAGCTTCACCAGCATCATCCTGCAGGTGCCCGGGGTGATGCTTTGCCTTTTTGGTCTTCGAATGTTGGAAAAAGAGGCAGCTTTTGCATCCCCCGCTTCACCAGCATCATCCTGCAGGTGCCCGGGGTGATGCTTTGCTTGCTGGGGATGCAGGAACTGCCTTTTTGGTCTTCGAATGTCGGGAAAAAAGGCAGCTTTTGCATCCCCCGCTTCACCGGCATCATCCTGCAGGTGTCTGGGGTGATGCCTGGCATGCTGGGCATGCGGAAGCTGCTTTTTGGTCTGGGACGGAGAAGAGCCGGGCTTTCTCTCAGCGATAACAAGGGCCGGATTTTTCTCCAACGTCTGGCTTCATGCGGGGATGATGAGGCTGATGATGATGCTGGATGACGAGGCCGATGATGGCGCCGCTGATGATAATGATGATGAGGAGGATGACGATGATGCTGCTCAACCTGATGAATGAGGACGATGCATCATCATCATCGTCATCATCCACCATGTCGTCATCATCATCCATCATCATCCTCAGCCTCAGTAGCATCATCATCCTCATCATCCAGCATCAGCACCATCGTCAGATCATCATCCTCATCATCCTCCTGATCATCATCATCATCCTCGTCACCATCATCATCATCATCATCATCATCGTCATCATCATCAGCGGCGTCATCATCATCATCGGCATCACCATCATCATCATCATCAGCATCATCATCAAAATCATCATCAGATCATCTTCATCATCCTCAGCAGCATCATCAGCATCATCAGCATCATCATCATCATCGTCATCTTCCCGTAGTCTTCCGTCATCTTCGTGTATTCTTCCGTCATCTCCCCGTAGTCTTCCGTCATCTTCCCGCAGTCTTCCGTCATCTTCCCATCAGCTTCCCGTAGTCTTCCGTCAGCTTCCCATAGTCTTCCGTCCTCTTCCCGTAGTCTTCCCGCAGTCTTCCGTCATCTTGCCTTAGTCTTCCGTCATCTTCCCATCATCTCCCGTAGTCTTTCCGTCATGTTCCCGTAGTCTTCTGTCATCTTCCCGTAGTCTTCCGTCATCTTCCCGCAGTCTTCCGTTCTCTTCCCGTAGTCTTCCGTCATCTTCCGGCAGTCTTCCGTCATCTTCCCTTCCCGTCAGCTTCCCGTACTCTTCCGTCATCTTCCCGTAGTCTTCTGTCAGCTTCCCGTCATCTTCCCGTAGTCTTCCGTCATCTTCCTAGTCTTTCATCATCATCATCCATCCTCACGGTTAGAGGTTAAAGTTAGAGGTTAGGGTTAGAGGTTAGGGTTAGAGGTTCAGGTTAGAGGTTAAGGTTAGAGGTTAGGGTTAAAGGTTAAGGTCAGAGGTTAAGGTTAAAGGTTAGGGTTAGAGGTTAGGGTTAGAGGCTAGGGTTAGAGGTTAGGGTTAGAGGTTAGGGTTAGAGTAGGGTCATCTTCCGGTAGTCTTCCGTCATCTTCCCGTCATCTTCCCGTAGTCTTCCGTCATCTTCCCGTAGTCTTCCGCCATCTTCCCGCAGTCTTCCGTTCTCTTCCCGTAGTCTTCCGTCATCTTCCCGTCAGCTTCCCGCAGTCTTCCGTCATCTTCCCGTAGTCTTCTGTCAGCTTCCCGTCATCTTCCCGTAGTCTTCCGTCATCTTCCTAGTCTTTCATCATCATCATCCATCCTCACGGTTAGAGGTTAAAGTTAGAGGTTAGGGTTAGAGGTTAGGGTTAGAGGTTAGGGTTAGAGGTTAGGGTTAGAGGTTAGAGGTTAGGGTTAGAGGTTAGGGTTAGAGGTTAGGGTTAGAGGTTGGGGTTAGAGGTTAGGGTTAGAGGTTAGGGCTAGAGGTTAGGGTTAGAGGTTAGAGTTAGAGGTTAGGGTTAGAGGTTAGGGTTAGAGGTTAGGGTTAGAGGTTAGGGTTAGAGGTTAGGGTTAGAGGTTAGGGTTAGAGGTTAGGCGTGTGAAAAATCCGCTGCGGGACCCCCCCTCTCCCCCTCAGACTCCCCCTAACCACCACTTAGAACACGCCTCGCCCCTTTGCAGAGACTAACTTTGCTTTTGCAAAGGGGTCGGCGGATATATTACCAACCAAAAAAAACGACCCATGTAGGAGCACCAGCGGTCGTGAGTACCCCTTAGGATCCAGTTCCACTGCGGGGATGCCAGCGCCGCTGGCGAGCTGCAGCAGGCCGCGGCTCGGCTCAGGTCGAACCCAGATTCGTGGAAAAGGAGTCACGTGGGGTTCCTCTTGGCAAAAGCAGCCTGAAGATTGGAGGAACTTTACTGGGCTTACACGAATGAAAAGTCCTGAGAAGTGGAGTAGCTCTACTAGGTTTCTTTTTTTGCGCAGTGGCAGGAACAAGAACAGAGATGACGAGACAGAAGAAATCCAAGCTTGCCTTCGGGCTGTGAAGTAGAACGATCAGTTAGCCAAACAATGACGCCGTAGATATTGCACGCAAAAAAGCCACACACCATGGTAACTTACAGGGTGTCCTTCGTTCCCTACTTGCAACATCTAAGGCTTGTATCAAGCTCCACCACACCGAGAAGCTCCCCTAAAATTGGTGCGGTGTTCAAGCTGTAGAAATGCCCCTGCGTCCACTTGTTTGTTTGTCTTCGTCTCTACGCCTGTGCCTGTGCCTGTGCTTGTGCTTGTGCTTGTGCTTGTGCTTGTGTGTGTGTGTCTGTGTGTGTCTATGTGTGTGTGTGTGGGTGCGTGCGTGCGTGCGTGCGTGCGTGCGTGCGTGCGTGCGTGCGTGCGTGCGTGCGTGCGTGCGTGGGTGGGTGGGTGGGTGGGTGGGTGGGTGGGTGTGTGTGTGTGGGTGTGTGTGTGTGGGTGTGTGTGTGTCTGTGTGTGTGTGTGTGTGTGTCTGTGTCTGTGTCTGTGTCTGTGTCTGTGTCTGTGTCTGTGTCTGTGTCTGTGTCTGTGTCTGTGTCTGTGTCTGTGTGTGTCTGTGTCTGTGTGTGTGTGTGTGTGTGTGTGTGTGTGTGTGTCTGTGTGTGTGTGTGTGTGTGTGTGTGTGTGTGTGTGTCTGTGTCTGTGTCTGTGTGTGTGTCTGTGTGTGTCTGTGTGTGTCTGTGTGTGTCTGTGTGTGTCTGTGTGTGTCTGTGTGTGTCTCTGTGTGCGTCTGTGTGTGTGTCTGTGTGTGTGTGTGTCTCTGTATGTGTCTGTGTGTGTCTGTCTGTGTGTGTGTGTCTGTGTGTGTGTCTGTGTGTGTGTGTGTGTCTGTGTGTGTGTGTCTGTGTGTGTGTGCGTGTGGTCAAATTCTGTTCACTTCCAACGAGGCTCGCCACCCTGAACTGAAGTGCTTGAGGTCTGATAACACATGAACGGCCAGAGCATCGGCAGGTTGCAATACGGGCAGTGTTGTGTTGTTCCAAATCACTCCACTATAGATTGCGGATAAGACTTAGGCATGTGCTAACCCAGTAGTGCTCGGGCACTTTGTAAGTCTTAAAAATGGCCATGGCTTGAGCCACACGCATTGGTTGCCAGGAGCTAAGTGCCCTGTTCGTGCTGATAGCCTCGAGCCAAGGCCCTGGTGTGGATGAATGACGACAGCTTCCCGAAGCTTGGCGCGTTCATGGGCCAAGCCGCAAGTTGTTGATGCCACGGTTTGGGTTGGGAAACCAACAAGACGACCGAAAATCCTTTCTTTTAGGGGGGGGGTTCTAAATCCTAAAAAACACACCCAGATTGACTAGGTCCCTTTGCTTTTTCTTGGGCCGAACTTCTATGGTTCGGTCGAACGAGAGGACTCCTAACAACTAAGCGCAAGCAAGTTTTTTGGGAGAAGGCCAGGCGTTGCGGGGGGTTGAATTTGGACACCAAGGGATGGAAGACATCCCAGCCAGGAATTCATTCATTCCAATTTGGGTGTGGCTCAAAATTAAACAGGAGGGGTTACGCAGGTTTTGGTCCATGTTTCCACTTGCCAGGGTTCCATTTTGGCACTGGTCTTTTTGAGCCACAGCCATTTTTTGGGGAAGCTTCCAGAGACCGCCGAAGCAACGCTTGCCTGAGTCGTTTCCTCACCTTTTGAAGTGGGGGCCTCCGACTGCCCCCAGCTGGATGAGCTTCGGGTGCCCTTGGTGCTCTGGTTTCCCTTTGGTTTCCAGCAGTTGGCGCCTTTTTGGAGCGGGGGAGAACTTTGAATGAGCTTCTGCGGCTATCCGCACGCCTTTCCGCACTGTAGACTCCAAATTGAGTGGGCGGGAAAACACGTCAGGACCTCATGCACTGGCTAGGCAAATGGCTGGAACTGCGAGCACTTGCGGTGCGTTCCGGTGATTCAGCATGACTCTCCCAATGTCCTACCCTTAAAACAGGATGGCCAGACCTTTGGACCATTTGCACTTGATAGTTTCAATCATGTTGCAGGTGGATATGCGGGTCCACTTATCGGATCATACGGACATTTGGGCGTAATCCCCCCGGCCGCCTGAGTGGATGCGCGCGTTTGTTGTCCGCTAGGTTTTTCCCAGCACTTTGAATGTTTTAGCCCAGGGCAATGTCCCTTCAATATTCCCTACACGCTGCAGCCAGGCAACCTCCTTCTAGTGGTTTATAATCTAGCCTTAAAAAGTGAGTGCACACGCAGCTACACGACCTCCTTCAAAAACGTGGTGGCTTTTCCAGTTTCTTGTTTTCATGTGTGTGCGTGCGTGTGTGCTTGCGTGTGCGAGTTGTGTTGTGTTGTGTCGTGTCGTGTCGTGTCGTGTCGTGTTGTGTTGTGTTGTGTTGTGGCGTGTTGTGTTGTGGTGTGTTGTGTCGTGTCGTGTCGTGTCGTGTTCTGTCGTGTTGTGCTGTGTCGTATTGTTTCGTGTTGTGTTGTGTTGTGTTGTGTTGGTGGGGTGTTGGTGTTGGCGTGCGTGCGTGCGTGCGTGCGTGCGTGCGTGCGTGCGTGCGTGCGTGCGTGTTGTCCGTTTTTATTTGGTTTTTTTCCTGTTTATTGTGGTAACCTATGTGGTCGTCCGGAACGAGGCGCGAGTCCCTGCGGGCCCTGCGGGCGGCGGCTCGGAGCGCCGTGCTGGTCTCCTACCGCGCGGGGGCCCCGGGTTTGGGGTTTGGGGTTTGGTGTGTGTGGAATTTCTTCGGCGCAATCGCTGAGCTCCCCTGGGTGGCTTGGAGGTCAGGGGGTAAATTGGTAAAACCCCTTTGTATACCTCCAACTATCATGGCACCTGCGAGGGTACCTGGAAGATCAAGTTCCTCTAGGGACCTCCTTTCAGATGCCATGTGGGAGAGAGGGAAATCTCCGCGCCTACGTGGAGGTCCTGCACTTTCATTCAGGGACCCAGGAAAGAATCGAAGGGGCCGGAAGCAGGGTGTGACCTTTGCTTGGTTGCAGCAAGGTAAGGGGCAAGGGAAGAAGGGGGGACGGCGGCGTATGGGAGTAAAGGGAGTTCATCCTTGAAGAGTCACCCTTTACCGCGCTGTTTTCTTCAGGTTGCAGGGAGCAGGTGACGCAATGGAGGTCCTCACGCACTCGGGGCGATCGCCTCATGACCGTGTGACAAGCCAAAACGAATGGAATGATCCAGGGCTTTTGCTCAGCTTGAAAATGGACTTTGGCAGGGTTAGGCGAACCCCTTGTTTGAACATGTTCTGAAACCACTATTGAATTGAATCGACAACCTCATTTTGGTTTTGTTTTATTGAACCAGATTTGCCCAACCCATCATAGACATAGACGAGCCCTTCGGGTTTAGTTAGCTGCGGACAGCTAACTGCGTTGCGACTTGCTCAGCCGTTCACCTAACACGGAATCCAGGGGCGGTGAGCAAACTGGTGTTGGAGGGCGCCCCATTTTCCCCACTAAAACCGGGGACACACCCATATGAATAAGCAGGGGTTTATTAATCCGGGGTCAACATTCAGCTTATGACTTTTCTCCAGACATTGGGAGGGTCCTCGAAGCAGTCTGCATCAGTCACTTGGCGCGGCCACAGGCGCCTGAGATCGAGGACTGATGGCAACGCCTTTTCGTTGGGATCAACGGAAGGGGAATTGGGGGCTTCAGAGACCCTCAGTTGGCATGTTTAAGATGTTTTAGGAGTCTTTGTAGGAGGTTTTGTAGGAGGTGTACCACCGACTAGTTCTTCGTACCATTGAGGAGTCTTTGTATGCGAGGGTCACAACTTGTGCACCCTCCACATACTTCTGGAACCACAACCACGGAGCGCTCCGGGGGGGCTCGGCGTTTTGCTGCAGGAAACAAACCGCAGCGAGATGCGGAACAGCGCGGTTCTCCTTCGGTGGACAGGATCCACTTGGCAGTGGCTCAAAGAAATGTACCCAAATGGCACCTTGGTAAATGAAACCAAAGACAAACACCTGCGTCACCCCGGCTCCTGAATTTTGAGCCACACCCACTTCGCACCAGTTGGGATAGATGACACTTGAATGGATAAACCACCTAACACTGCGAGGATTTTGTCCATGCACAAGGGTCCCTTAAGGATAAATCTGGGCCAGTTGAATACTCTCTGAAAGCTTTGCAGGATCCGAATCCTTGTAAAGGCGGTTTCTGGATTGGAGCCTCAGTGAATATTTGCTGTGTGGCCCAACTCACGTTGGACTTTTGGCATCCCCATTTCATTTCCTGATGGTGTTGCGGGGCTCGTGTGCCCCATCCCTTACCGTAGGATGGACCGTAGATATGAGGATATGGATCAAAATTAAGCCAGCAGGATATGCATGGCAGGTTTTTGTCCTTGTATTTATCAGGGCAACCTATTTTGGGGTTACCCTATTTTTGACAACCTCACCCATATCCGAATCCTCGGCCCGGCTTTTTGTTTTTTCCTGCGCTTTCCGGGGTCAGGAGCCGCATTGGCGCTGGGCAGCTGTCCTGAAGGCGTCGGCGGAAAGGTTAGACCGTTTGACGTTTGACCTTCCCAACAAAGACAGATATGGCCATGGGTCAAAACCCCCAATCGTACCCCCAGTGAACATGCCAATCCCCACTAACATAGACTTAAATGGGCGGTGCACCTACCCCAAAATGGTACCATTGGTTTTGACCCACAGCCATATCACCTACGATAGGAAGTCCTTGAAAAGTTAAAGAGGGTCCAACATGAGGGTCGGCACTATCAAACCTAAACTCTACACCAATGAATAAATCATTCGTTTGTCAACCAGTATTCAAGAGGTCCATCCATCAGTACTAAGGTCTCCTCCTTTGGGTCCGGGTAGGCGACACAAAGGGAACACCTACGGCTGAGCCATGAGGCAATGCTGCAACCCGACTGTCATAGCAACAAATTGGGCCCGCTGTGCTTCGCACGGGCTAAGTCAAGGGCGTGTTGGATGCATCAGGTTTGACGGGGTGCAACGTGATCGCAGAAAGATCCTTCACTCCTTGGAGCCAAGAGAAACACGCGTGGCAACTGTCCCAAAAGTCCCAGGGAATGAGCCCTGGGACTTTTGGGACAAGTCCTCTCAGCAGCTCATGCTTTTCTGCCGATTCGGATTTGAAGACCCGAGCCAATGGCTCTCACGAACGCCAATGCGCCAGACTTCAAATAGCAACTGCTGGCTGTGAGTTGGATTTTTTGCAGATGGTCTCGTTTGTTCGCCGCGAGACTCGAGACTTTTCTGGACTTTGGGCTTGCCAGGCCAAAGTGTCCTGGAACGAAGATCAGTTTCTGCACATCCTGACGCCTGGCACGGAGATGAGCGTACGGGGCACGCGAGGGTGTCTCCCGATGTTGATCCATTGTTTTGTTTTGGGTGTGTTTTTGTTTTTTCTTTGGGGGGGGGGGGGGTCTGGTGTTGAACGTGCTTAAGGTGTTTGTGTGATCCCCGAAAGAGCTAGCCGAAAAGGGAACTATCGGGAGGCGGGGGAAACGCATCAGAAGGATTCAAAGAGGAAGCTACGGTTTCGCCGTGCAAGGGGCAGGTCCAGTCCAACAATGGAAGCTTCTGATCAGCGCCCTTTGGAAGACTAGTTACTGTCATGTTCAAGCAGGGTGCATGATGTTGCCTGCTTGGGCAGGTCAACGCCTTTTTATCTGGCAGTGACATTGAAAAGGAAACAGAAGGGAAACCCATTTTAAGGCTTCCCGTTCTTTGAGACAAGCCTACTTGTATATACGCCACAATCAAGCCCCAAGTAGATGAAGGGTACTAAGGGACAGTTGGGGAGGACATGTGGCGAGCTCCCAAATTCCTTGCAAATGCTCTCTGCTTGAGACTCAAGACCACCCAAATTCCGGATGTGGGTGTGTCTTGTTGTTAGGGTCCCTTTCTTGGGTGGTTTTATGCAACAAAGACATAAGACCCCTCCCATTGTTTGGCTTGTCCTTTTGGGGAAACAAGTCATGTCCGTTCCAAGGACGAGCCCGTCCAGCGAATGCGAGAGCGAAGCGGGAAAGACAGCTGGGATCCACTTTGGCTGGGAACAACCGTATTCGTGGGACCCTACTGGGATGTTCGTTGCCAAGTTAGCCTTCGTGGTGATCACCACGTGGGGTAAAACTCCCTAAGAACGAGGTCAACCCCAGATAGAGAGACCTATAAGTGGGTTATAGCCTGGTTTACCAACAACTTACAACTGGCTGAACACCCAAGTACCCTTTCCCCAACAATCGTGAAAGCCGACAAGTGTTCCAAAACCTTCCCGCGCGCTTCCCTGGCAAGAGGCTGAGATTTCGTGCCGGGTCTTGGGGACAAATGCTTCGGAAAACCCAAATTGGTTCAGGGAATCTGAGTGTAAACAATGTCGGTCGCCAAGGGGTCCGACCAAGGAAACTCATCACCACATTTTGTGCGGGTTACTTGAGGATTGATTTCCTGCTGGAGAACGAGGCTTTGACAACTCAATGATGGCTCAACAAAACGGCGACCGGCATGGGAAACCGCGCCTTAACCTAACCACTAAACCACCGTTTAAAGGGAAGCGGAGACAGCTTGGGGTGAGGTTCTTCAAGCTGAAGGTCCCAACTAGCAGCAGCCTTTTCTGGATGCTGGGGTCTCCTCAAAAAATATTCGACATTGTTCGCAGTACTTCTACTTACCACTGTTGTAGGCAGCCATCTGACACCATCATGTAAAACGTATAGTGGAGACTTGAAGCACCGGGTTACGGTAGACTAAATGAACCAGAATCTCAAAAAACATGTTTGTGGTGTACCCTGGTGTGGGCGGCCAAGGCAAACATTGTCAGGGATCTCGTATTTGGGTGTGTGTGTGTGTGTGTGTGTGCTTCAAAACTGGGGGTGGGCCCAGAGGCAACTCATGTGGTTTCATAGGCCCTCCGCACATCGAAGTGATATGGGCAGTTGGAACGGACCTTTGGGGCTCATTTGGGGTTCCCAGATTTGGAGTGATGTTTTAAAGGGGAAATATCGGGAGCCCTTTTTGACAGCTTATTGGGGACACCCAGTTGCTCCGAGAAATGCGCCGGGGGCTTTTTGTTCAAACCATATTCCTCGGGACCGAAGGGTACCCTTCCCAGTCGTTTGCTTTTCTCGCCAGAAACAGGCTCCCCGCAGCATTTTTGGCTCACCTTGCCAGCGACGAGACAAGACATCCAAGATGCCACGGGCTGAGTTGCTGCCAAACCCGGGGTTGTGCTTCGGACGAGTCTGGCAAGCCGTGAGCGGAGGAATGCCCCAAGGCGTCATTTTCCGATTTCAGGGGAACCGCCTGGGATGAATCTGGAGAGGTTTATCGTTTTCTAAGTGGGCCTTTGATTCATAAACCCCTAGAATAAGATTGAGGAACTCCGCGACACGACAAGTCCCAAAGCAGTATCCCTGATCGATCAACAGGGCTGAAAGAGCCAAAGGGGTCAATAACATATGAGACTTGGGGCGTGTCCTTCAGTCGGCGCATTGCATGCTGCATGGACCGAGCGAGTTTCCAGTCATGGCCCGTTCAGCGGCCCAGAGTTATGAAACTGCCAACGGATCGAGTGAAGCAGGGAAAATGGGTATGGATGTTTTTTTCTTCTTCTTTTCGGAACCCTCTTTTGGGAAAGGGAAACCAACAGGACAAATACCCGCCCCTATTGTGAGAAGCAAGAAAGGCGTCTCTGTCTGCAGGCCGGTGCGCCTCTATTGTCCCGACAGGAGACACCGCAAACGGTCGGGCTCTCTTGGTTTCAGCCTGCCTGGGGGATCTTTAGTTTATGGCCACCCCAGTTTCATCTCACTTCCAACAGGGGCTGAGCTTGCAACCTTTTACGCCCCAGGGGCCGCCTATGGGTGTTCATCGGTTTCCCTACCAAGAAAATCCCAGAGAACGTATAAAGATCTCCACCATGTTCCCTGTTTGTTTGCAACTGAATTTGTTGCACTTGGCACCGGAAAAAACAAAAAAGAACAGATCATGTAACACCTTCTTGTCAGCTTTCATGCCAGGATTTGTTTTGAGAGGGTGGGCTGGTGCCTTCCTGCGGAAGTGGTTCAGATATTTGTCTCTGCGGCGAGGGTAAAAAAAATGAGCTGGGTAAAATGAGCTCATGATGTGGGGATGGCGTATTTCAGCTGTTGGAATAACTGCAATGACATCCTCGCATGTCGAAACCGAGGTACGGAAAGGGATATGGTGGCTACGGCAAAGGCGCGGACGCCCTTGCAGGGGTCTTCTTTTTTCAGCCAAAGGGGAGTAGTAATGTAAACTGCACTGCTTCGGGGAGTCTGAAGATCCTGAAGGGATGGTCCGAGGAAACACACTCCGAAGAGGGAAACACCTCGCCATCTACGAGGAATGGAGCGCAAAACAGAGGCCTGCATCAACCCGCTCCCAAACCACGAGCCCACGTGACACGCCAGGCCCACCGCAAAAAATGTCCTCAGAAAGTGGGCCCTTCCAACTCCCCAGCTGAGCCACGTGCTCAAAACCCGGGTAGATGGAGGTTAGTAAGGGACAATCCCAACCATAAATAGCTGCGGCCGCCTTCTTAAATTATTACATTGTTCTGGGTCAACCGTTTTAATACCGGGTTTTGATTATGACTCAGCTTGCTTGTTTAGAGCACCTGTCGGCAGTTGGAAATCTAGGCCCGCATAAAAGCAGTTTGACACACAATCGCCACGCTCCCAAGGGCCGCTGCCAGCAACCAGTTGCAATGTGTTTGATTTTTTGGGTTGACTAGCTGGTGGTTGGACGTGAGCCAAGGTGTGGGGCATACCTAATTTTGCCTTTGAAGAGGAGAGCTAAGGAGCCACCCAGAGTTCTGTAAGGACATGGTGAGTGGTGGTTGGCAACAAAAAGCTGCATCCACTGCAAGTGGTTGGACAACGCGTGCTGGCAGGAGCGAAAATGGTTGCTTGCTTTGAACCCCATTGAGAGGTACACGGGTTGTCACGGAACTTCCAGATCCATGCAGATTTCTAGGTACGGCGTGTTGACCACTTCACTTCACTCGTACCAAAAGACCCTCGGGGTTTGCTTGTTCTCGTAAGTTCCTGGACTCGTGGCGTATCCAAATCGGATGTGGAAGCCCGAAAAGAACAGGGTAGCCTTCAGCGGGCCCCTGATGTCGCTTGTTTCTAGGGGGTATCAAAATCAAGGGGGCGTTTATTCCCTTTAATTCACCTTCCATGAAAGTGACTTTGATAATGGTAAAACAAGACGTGTTTGTGCTGCAATGCTTTCAGGGCTTCAATCGCTTCAATTTTGAGTGGCTGGACTCTTTGGTGGACGTCCAACCACCTGTGAGGTTCCTCATCGGTCGAATGAGTATGTCTCATAGCTTGGACCCCCGTGGGTGGAAGTCAGCCTTTTCAGGCCGTTGTTTTTTATATGAATATATTTATTTTTATTTTTCCCTTCGGGAAGCCACAAGGAACACCCCCATTTTGGGCCCCAGTCCGGGTCCCGTTCTCGAGACATACCCGCAGTGCGACTCAAAAGGGGTTGAACAAAGCGCCTGCGGTCAAGACAAAGCACCATGGTGAAGGCCTGCATTTTGGGCACCATTGTGTTGACTTTCCGGGCCGGCCCGGTCATCTCAGGCTGGGGCAAGGGCTACGGCTTTGACCCCTGGGGCAAGGCCCGCTGGGGGTCTACTGCATTCGATAGCCATCAGCGTCCAGGAAATTGACAGTTCCGACTTTGCTTCATGTTCAGTCTGAGATATGAGATAGTTTGCATGGGGACCCCAGTTTTGGGGAGAACCCACCATCGAGTCCAAAAGGCGATGTGCGTGTGTCTTTTTTTGACATGGCTCGGATTGAGGCTCGCTACCCTTTTGAGCTTGGGAAACCACAAGGAAAATCATCAATGAAACCAGGACATGTGCGATTCTGGGGTCCAAATCCAAATTTGAAACATACCCATGTGTACACATTTGCTTAGGACCCCTTTCTGACTTTGGCCTGGATGTACTGTGACTTTGTGGGGCTATTCTATTGATCCGTATGAGTTCTTGCTTGCGCCCGATGAGCGTGTGATCCTTGGACGCGAACAAGAGGCTCTCTAAGAAGCTGATCAAGATCTGGAGCTCGGGGCAGGTCCTTGGCGCTGCTGAGATAGAGGGTGGGATCGTCCACACGACACTGCGACACCGGCCCTATCAGCCAGCCCGTGGCAATGGCCGACGTTCAATGGACGCGCCCAAGTGTGGACCTGTGAGAAACTGGCTTGAAGTTGCCGAGTTGCCGTGCGAGTGGCCCGGACACCCTCCCAAAACTAGCAAATGGTTTGCTGCGTGAGCTCCAGCAAGGGCGAGTTTGGTCGTTTGACAGCCTGGATCACTCGTTGTCTCTTGACTCCTCCGTGACAGTTCAGGCGACATGTTGTGGGAAAGCTCGAAGGGTGGAGGTGCGGCAAGTGGACAGTCCAGCATCGCTGTGTTTGTTTTGATCATGGTTGCGGTACATTGGGGTCTTTTTGCCACCTTTTGTGAGAACATTGGCGACCCCCTCAAAAAGGAATCCTTCAACACAAGGGGGTCGATCCTTGGGATTTCGGGTCGCTCTTTGTGGTACCAAGGGATCACAGAGAGGACCATGCCTTGTTTTGGGCTGCTGGGAGCCTTCCGCTCCTCTCTCCCACGCGGGACCGAACCGCGCAACAGGACGCACGCCATTGGGGAGGCTCTGAAAATGGGGAAGTAGCCCTGCACAAAAAAGGAAGCCTTGCAAAAACTGTTCAGGTGCAACAAAACCAAAGGGTACTTCAGGAACGAAAAACTGATAGCCCTTGAGGAACGTGCTGGGATTTGTTTCTTTTGCTTTTGCCTTGCACCACCAGATAGGGGTGCAACATCGACTGTTTGGTCCTCACATGCATAAAAAACCCTGTGGCAGGCGCTATCTCGGTTGACAGCCAAAGCACTGAAAGGACTCACGGGGTAAGAAATAGAAAGAACCGCAACTCCACGGCCTTCCAACTTTCTTCACTTTGGGCGACTCAACACAATTCGGGTAAAAGAAATAAACACCATGCTCGTTCCTTACGCGCCCTTTGGGTCACCTTCCTTCCAAGGGCTAGTCCACGGGCCTTCCCTGCATTCTTCGCTTTGGACTTTCCCCGTTTTGGCCTTTGGAAGGCGACGCGTTTTTTCAGACCATTTTTCGGGCGCCGCGCACATTTTTGCTGGGGAAGCTTTTGCTCACCGCTTCGGGGGCAAAGCAAGCGAAAGCACTTGAGGAAGGTTCCTTTTTTGGGGATTCCTTGTGTATTTGTGACTTTTTGTAGCCAGGAAGTCTTCATGGAGTCTGTGTTTTTGAGGGTACCCTTTCCAGGCTCGCTCAAAGACACACACACACACAAAGGACACCCATTTTTGGTCTCCATATCATTTTGGGATGCTCAACAAAACGGTTGCGCGCTCATCATGCCAGGGCATGATGATGGGAGCCTACGGCGGGATGATGATGCCACCAATGCAGCCTGGCTGCATTCAGATTCTCACAAGCCCCAAAAGTTGCTTGGTCCCTCCACTTGGGTAGGTCCCCTAGTGGTGCCCTTTTAGCCTTTTTTGGGGGAGGGTCCCCCTACTAAAATAGGCTACAGAGAAAAGGGTACCCTTATTCTAACCTCTCTACTGGAGGACCTAGTTGGGTATAAGAGGGTTGCAAGGGCTCCGATTCGGGGAATCAGGATAGAGTTTTCACCCATCTGCGCCTCCAGTGGACCTTCCTGTGCTGATTTTTGACGGTGAAGATGCGGTGAGCTGGGTGTGTGGTGGGGCAGTGCAGTCGGCGTTCCTCTATCATGACCTGCAGATGTTGAAACGCGGACTGGTTCGAATGGCAGCAGAGGTGCTTCCAAGGAACACCGCCAAAGGCAGCGGAACACATCCCCAGAGCATCCATTCAGCTGTAAAAGTTTTCCAGCGCTAAACTCCAAGGACAGTTGCTGGTTGTTTTTTTTTCTTCTACCTTTTGGGGTTCTCAATCAAGGAACCCAGCTGCTCGGTTTTTTCGGGGTTCCCCTCCTGGCCAGAGAAAAACAAACCCATCCGGACCCGCCGGGACCCGGCGCCCTGGGCGTCGCGTCGCCGGCCGTGGCGAGTGCTCGGGCTCCAGGTTCGGTCTCAAGGGCAAGGGCAAGGGCAAAGGCAAGAGCCCGCTGAAAGTCGCCGGGGGCCCTCAGCGGCGGGGTGATAGGGGTGATGGCTTGGTGGCTCATTTGAGCCGCGCTAAGAGGCGGCGCCTGAAGAGAAGTTCTGCTTGGCCACCGGGGCCATGAACAAATATATATATATATATATATGCATATATATATAATTATATGTATATGTATATATAGATATTCAAAGGCCGCTTTGGGCGAATGAACAGAAATTCGGCCACGGGGCCACTTGACCCACAAAAACTGTTTGGATGCGGAATGTGGGTTTTTCTGGAAAAGCGTTTGAGTGCTCAGAGGTGGATCAACAAACCGCATCCAAAGCGCTTCGTAGATCACGGTAGTTGGGTGGCCGCTGCTTCCGGCAATACAGTGCTCCAGGGTTGAATTCGTTGCTGGGGTCGCCTCCGTGATGGTTTTGGGGGTTGAGGTTGACCAAATATCTCATTGTAGCCGCTGGGGGCGTAGCACTTTTGCAGGCGCAGACGAAGACGAATTCGAAGACATATTCCCCCACAGCACCTTCCTGAAGACGAATTCCCCCTGAAGACGAATTCCCCCCCGAAGACGAATTCCCCCTGAAGACGAATTCCCCCCCGAAGACGAATTCCACCTGAAGACGAATTCCCCCTGAAGACGAATTCCTTCCTGAAGACGCATTCCCCCCCGAAGACGAATCCCCCCCGAAGACGGATTCCGCCCTGAAGACGAATTCCCCCCCGAAGACAAATTCCCCCTGAAGACGAATTCCCCCCCGGAGACGAATTCCACCTGAAGACGAATTCCCCCTGAAGACGAATTCCTTCCTGAAGACGCATCCCCCCCGAAGACGAATCCCCCCCGAAGACGAACTCCCCCCTGAAGACGAATTCCCCCCGAAGACGAATTCCCTCCAAAGACGAGTTCCCTTGAAGGGTCTAAGTAAACACAAACTGCACAAGGAACGTACCCTGGGGAATGCAAAAGAAAAGCGTTGCTCAATTTATTTCTTATAATTCTTATTAAGACACCCCGTGGTACCTTGGAAAATACCCAAAAAGCGTGGCTCGACTAGACGCACATATGCTTCAAGCGGAAGCTCCAGGTCGCGCTGCTGTTTTGGCTGGAGGATCCATCCAATATCCCAATATCCAGTGTCCAAGGTTCGAGAAGTGACCAAACAGAATTCGGGGAGCACAGAAGCCGTCAGAGAAAACAATAGCAGCTGACACTGTGTCGCTTGATGTCAGGTGTGAAGGAATGGCCGAGAAGAGGATTGCACTCACTGAGCTTCTCTCAACCTTCGTGACGGTTGTCATATTCTTGTCTGTCCAGATGCTGTTTCATGTTTGACCTAGCAAGCTCGCCTTTCGATCTGCAGGTGGAGATACATCAATGCTAATCAATTTAAGTTAACAGCATGCAATGAATTTGCGCACTGAGCTTCTCTCAACCTTCGTGACGGTTGTCATATTCTTGTCTGTCCAGATGCTGTTTCATGTTTGACCTAGCAAGCTCGCCTTTCGATCTGCAGGTGGAGATACATCAATGCTAATCAATTTAAGTTAACAGCATGCAATGAATTTGCGGTCAGCAATTTCTTCCCGTCAGCCGAAATTAACATCATATGCAGGTCACGTGCTGAGCTGGCTGAACACAATTTTCCCGCCATGGCGCCTGCATGATACGTGACCCCGCGTGCTTCAGCGCTGAGCCAGTTGAAGACTTGGTGCTGCTGACAACACCTGGGGGCAGCCTCGATCTGCCAGGCACAGTACCAAACTGGCCTCGTCAGGCGGGGTTCCGACCCGGTGTTTCCACAAGCTCGGCCTTTTATTTCCCAGTTCTTTGGGATTTCCCAGGGCCAAAAAATGAAAAAACAGTTCTTGCCTTGACCTCCTGCTGATGGGCAAAATCAGAATTCACCACCTGGGATGATTAAAGCCCTGTACATAATGGGAAGCACCAAATCGACCAACTGGTAAACAAGTCGGATTTGGTCCCTCAACAGTATGATGGCTATTTAGGGTGTATTGCAAGGACGGACCCACGAAGTTTACCAGATATCATGATACCATGATACCAGATGCTGTTTACCAGATGCTGCAACCTGGTGACCTGCCTTGGCTGGGTCATCAATACCATCTGTTCAGCGTCCCCTTTGCCCGTCCATGAAACCGTGGTTGTTGAACAAATGGTAGTTCATATATATCTAGAAATCAAATAGTTGATATACTTCAAACACGTATCATCATGAATAAGTCATAAATAATGTCAACCAGCTACAATCATCACAAAACTCAGCTCTAATAATTTAATTCAGCACCACCACAGTGCCCCCAAAAAGGCCAGGCATTTCATGAGTTTCACATCTAACACAGCAATTAAGTTGGGTGGTCCTGGGTTCTCAGAACACGCGCGTGAGTTTTGCATTTTGCCAGGTGCTTGCGGACGCCAAGGTGGACCTACGCTGGGTGTCTGCTGTTCACTGGGATTGGAGTCTCAGTTGCCCAGTTGAACATTTGACCTTCTGCTTTCCCTGATTTGGGTACCATATTTGGGTTTGTCTCTCAAAATAGGGCAGCCTTTGGGGAGGTTGTTTTCCATTTGGTTTCAACTTGAAACCAACCAAAAAGGGCTCCACCATTTTGGGAGAGATTCGTTTCCTGCTTCCAGTTTCGGATATTTTTTATTTTCCAGTCCGTTCTGTTTGGCTGTCGTGAGGTGTTTGATACCTCGCCAGCAGCTTTCAGCCGCTGCAGCTGCGCCGGTCCGCCGGTGGCAAAATGAGTTTTGAAGTCAGAAAAATCAGATTGTGTCGGCGGGGGGCTGCTCACGTAATTTTAGGGGCTTATGGCCTCTGTGTTCGATGTTCTGAGTGTGGAGCGTGGGTGAGCTGCAGCCCGGAGCGCCCCAGGGGCCTCCTGTTTGCTTTGCTGTAGAGTGCAAGCCAGACGTAGGGTTGTCCTACGTCAGGATTTGATGCTGGTGGAGCTGGGCGCTACGGGCGGGCTTGCTGCAGACTGGTTCATGCCTTGGGCGTACTCCAGGGCTGATTGGCCGTTCAGGGCACCTTGCAGAGCATCTTTGCTTTGGCATTCATGGGGAAAGTCGGGTTTTTGGCTGAGGTTGTAATACCGAGCGAGGAGTCTTGAAGGCAGTGTTGTGTCGGTGGGGGTTGCTCACGTAACTTTAGGGGCTTATGGCCTCTGTGTTCGACGTTCTGAGTGTGGAGCGTGGGCGAGGTGCAGCTGGGAGCGCCGCAAGGCCTCCTGTTGCTTTGCTGTAGAGCGCAAACCAGACGTAGGGTTGTCCTACGTCAGGATTCGATGCAGATGGTGCTGGGCGCTACGGGCGGGCTTGCTGCAGACTGGCTCATGCCTTGGGCGCGCGCGCTCCTGGGCTGATTGGCCGTTCAGTGCACATCTTGAAGAGCGTTTCTCCTGAGGCATTCACAGGGGGAGTCAGGGTTTTGGCTGAGGTTGTAATACCGAGTAAGGAGTTTTGAGGTCAGCAAAATCATGTTGTGTCGGTGGGGGGGCTGCTCACGTAGTTTTAGGGGCTTTTGGCCTTTGTGCTCAACGGTTTGAGTGTGGAGTGTGGGCGAGTTGCAGCTCAAGCACGGAGCGCCCCAGGGGCCTCCTGTTTGCTTTGTTGTCGCATGCCGCGCGAAGCCACGTCCTTGGCAGAGCGCTTTAAGGACTTGCAGTCCTTAAGCGGCGAAGAGGCTGCGCCCACCCGGCTGAAGGCAGCCGTTCAATCTGCAAAGGCGCTGTATCAGGGCACTTTTGCTGATGTTCTGCCAGTGATGCAAGCTCTGGCCCCTACGGAGCTAGCTCACCACTCGGCTTTTCCATTCTTGATTATTGTCCTGGCTGAAGTTTGCCTGCTCCGACGCTTCCCCTCGCGACCAACACCCTTGACTGTGGAAAACCCGCTGGCGCTCCTCGGCACTTCTCCTCTCAGCTTCGAGATGACTGTTAAGGGCAGCTTCCTCCATGCTGTGTCCAAGAAGGACGATGTGATTACGCGGGCTGGGCACATCATCCTACATGTACTTGGCAGCTCGTCCCGGCTACGCAATACTTTGCTTCTTGTCATCGGCTTTATGCGCTCCAGTCATTTGGCCTGCTGGATGGCAAAGCGGGTTTTCCGCGGGATGCAAGCCAAGGATGTACTTTACCTTGTCAGCTCCTACAAGCAGATGAACAACCCTTGGCCGGCCAAGCGCTTCCTGCCGGACCGGGTGCTTTGGCGCCGTTGCAGAGCCAAGCAAGTGTTCAACACTGACTTGCAAGGCTACACGTTGGCCAGCGTGTTGGGGGCTTCGGCCACGTACTTGTTTGACAACATTGACGTGCCGGCCATTTTTGATGAAGACTCCCTGCTACGTTTGTTGGGCGCCACCGCTTTCTGGAGGGGCAAGAGCCTCATGCTTCCTCATCTTCACGGATGGTTTCTGGAGTGGAACCTGTGGACGCAAGGGGGGGACCCTGATCTGAAGCACAAGAAGCTTGGCACCAACACGCGTAAATTCTTTGCTGCTGCCAAAATGAAGGAGCGCGAGGCCTTCGCTTTGTTTCATGCATACGTGCGGTCTGCTCCTGGCTTAACTCCTGGGCAGCAAGAGGAAATGGCTGCTCTGACTAGTGCGGACCTGCGGGCCATGGCTTGCAAGACCGTGTGTGTCGTGGAGAATTTTGGAGGCGCAAAAGTATCCAACTGGAGACTGGCGGAGGTGCCCCAGTGGAAGGGAGTGGGCAAGTATTCTGCCCGGTGGCGGCTTCGAAAGAATGTTTGCGCCAAGCGGCGGCGGGCGGTGTCTCACGGATCCAGAAAACGCCGGCGGGCTTGACTGAGCGCGAAGCTAGGACGCGCCCAGCCCTTCCTTTGCAGAGCAGATAGGACATCAAGAGCAAAATATCGCTTGCGCGCTGCGCCGTGTGTCTGTGTGTCTGTGCAGGAGAGCAATCATTGCTTCAGTTGTCACGAGCTTGAAGCCAGCAACTTGTTTGTTCAAGTGTTGTAGT